AAATGCCTTTGCACTCTTTTAAACTAAAGTTGCGGAAGTCTCATAACTCTCGCACATGTGCTTGTCAATGCAGCCGTCTGTTGTTCTGGCAGTCTCTGCTATTTTGTTGTTGTTGTTCTGTCTCTTTAGTTTTGTTTTCTACTGTGAATCAACGACCCGGGCTAGTGTTGCCACCTTGTGGAACAACTGATTAGTGCAAAACAAATTCAACACGCATGTGCGACCCAGTTACAAAAAGCAAATGTGTACTATTCTGGTGAGGAAATTAGCTTCACGCGCACTGTACATGGAACCGTGCGCACATGTAAATACCGAAGTATACTTTGAGCTTTACAAAAATCAGGTGGTGCGTGTACAGTATGTGCGTACTGTTCTGATTACCTTAGTGTACGCGTAAAAAGTGAAACCTACTTTTGGTTTTTGTATATAGCACACAAGTAATGAATGGTCTGAATTCACTTTGATTGTGGAAATGAGGAGTCTTGATTAGGGGTGTGCCTTATCATACCGTCCACGATAATACCGGTATAAATTTTTACATGATAAAAATGTTTCATATCGCGATATCAATCAGCGACGCGATGGCGTATGGCTGATATACGTTCCTTAGCGCACACAACAACAACACCACAAACCCAATAGGTGTGTTCGACTTGAAGCAGCGCTGCGCAGACTGATCAGTGTATGACATCAAAGTATCGCGAGAGCAGCTCTAGAGCATATTCGAGCGCACACTCTTACCTTCAAAAATAGGCGAGGCTCATATCTTTAGCGAAGCCGCGCGGAGAGAGGGGGGGGCCTGGCAATTTTAACCGACTGCCCGAGGCCAGCATAAAAAGACGGCCTGCGCGTCGTCATGAAAGCTTATCAATTGCACGTGTTTTAAGCCTTTGCCAATTGAAACATTCAAAACAGTTTAAGGCATTCAAAAACAAGACACGGAAAAACTCAACTGAGAGTTCGCGCGCCGAGTTCGGTGCGCACACGGAGAGCCACGCAAACACCAAACCAAGCTCTTCTTTGCTTCTTCCCGTGCCTGAACAAACAAATACACCTCGCCAGTTTAAACATACAAGCACAAAAAGACATGAAAAGCTTAA